TTATTCTACCGGGCCATTTCCCTGGCCCTAAAAACCAATTTCTTGAAGTTTAGTAGTTCACAAAATTCTTAACTAGCCAACAGTTCCCATTTCACTGTTTATCAGAGTTAAACACCTTTAATCTTCAGGGGAAAAGTTTCCCTGCAAGATTGTTCTGGCACAGGGATCAGCAGCTCAGGGGCCCCCCTTCTGTCCCTCTCTTGGACAGAAGCTTTTTGTCTCCCAATAAATATATCCTGCTCACAAAAAAAAAAAAAAAAAAAAAGACTGTTCTGGTAACTGCCAAAAAAAGTACGAGGGCCCACTGGCCAGTAAAGAAAGCTCTGCTTTACATGTAGTGTCTGACTCTCCTTTTTGCAACTGTCTCCAGCTTGAAAGACACAGTGTTAGAATTTCAAGACATGCACACGCATATCTTGATGGCAAGAAAAGGCTCTACATAAAATCCTTTCAGAGTTCTTATCCCCCTGCCTCATCTTAAATTCACTTTCTACCCTTGCATATAAAAACAAACCAAGCAAAATGAAGGTGCCTCTCCCTCCCTGTCTTGCTACATATTCAGGCTGGCCTTGAACTCTCTGTAGCCCAGGCTGGCCTCAAACTCATAGCAGTCCTCCTGCCTCAGCCTCCCAAATGGTGAGATTATGGGTGTGTAAATTAGTTATCTGGAGTTTGTCTTATGGCTTATATGAAATAGTGTGGTGATAACTTCTGATAAATAGGAGGCCAGCCAGAGAGACAGCTGTCCTGCAACTCCACCAGGTCACAGGCAGCTTGGAGGAGACTGCAGCCTGCTAGCATCTGTGTATTAAGAGGAAGTTGGTATGAGGGAGAGTCTACTTCAGGGTAAGGGCTTACTACGTGAAATGTAGGCTCTAAAACACTTCCTTATGCTATCTTTGATCCAAACTTTAGCACCATTTTTTTTTTTTTTTCAATTTTACTTTCTAGCATCCAAACAGAGGAAGCAGGGTCCACAGGCAAGTGAAGTATGTCACAAACTTCCTTTTATCCTTAGTTTCTTCACAAATTTTATGTAAAAGACTAAGACTGCCATTCTTATAAAATAGATTCCTGCCCTCGGCCACAGTGGCCGCTGGCAAAGCCTTTATTTCCCAATAGATGAGAGAGATGCCTTCATCCTCTTGGTCATAGTTGGAATGAGGTTCATGTGGTCATCTACACACTTGGCCACGCAACTGTCCAGCTGCTGCCTCACCTGAAGCTCCTTTTTCCCTGCGTCCATTGAATCTTTGGCTTTGTCATTGCAGTGCATCGTGCACCGGGCCAGGCGGTCCTGCAGCAAGAAGAGAGGAAGAGAAGGCTGAGAGGCTGAACTGCACGTCCTGCGTGTGGACTGTGTGCCAGGTCTTGGGCTACAGGCTCGACGTCTATCCTCTTGTTCAGTTAAAGTGACACTGAGTACAAGAAGTTCTTGGCTGACACAGAAGAGAACACTGGGGGAGCACAGAGAAACCACTGCTAAGCAGGGGGGTGAGCAAGTGAACTGTACAGAAGACTGCTTGTTAGGGAGAGGTTGCTAAGGTTACTGTCACACTTAGAAACACCTTAATTCCTTTGTTCTTTTGCAGTAGTGGGGACTGAATTCAGGGAGCACTGGGCTACATTTCCAGCCATTTTTTATTTTGAAACAGGGTGCTAAGCTTGCTCAGCCTAGCCTCACACTTGGGACCCTCCTGCCTCAGCTTCCTGAGTAGTTGTAATTACAAGAACACATCATCCTCCCAGCCCTATCTTAATTCTTTAATGCCTGTTCTTGCTACAGGGAAACAATTTAATTCAAATATAGTATATGTTGAGCATCTATTATGCGCCAGCCTTCTAATGTTGTGAATACAGCAATAAAACAAGACAGGGACGGCCACATAGTCAATGGACTAAACCGCCTGCTTAGGCAGAGTGCAGCAGCTGGGGTTTGATCCCTGCCATGCTGGCCCACCCTTGGGGGGCATGCTGAGACTGGGATTGAGAGTGGGTATGGTGGTGCACACCTGTAATCCCAGCTACTGGGAGGCTGAACACAGGCGGATTACTACGAGTCCTGTCTATGTAGTGAGTCCCTGTAGATCCTGTGCTTAAAAAAAAAAAGACAAAATTTCTTTCTTATAGGCTGGGGAGATAGCTCAGTAGAATAAGCGCCTGCCTGGCAAGCACAGGGTCCTGAGTTCAATCCTTGGTACCATGAAAAAAACAAACCAAACCAAACCAAAACAAAACAAAAAACAGATAAAGTCCTGGCCTACTTGGGACTTACATTTTAGTGCAAGGATAAAATAATGAGATGTTGAGGAAATAGCTGGAAATGCTAATCTTCAATTTAGGAGTAAGATTTGGCCCAGAGGTAGGAATGAAGAGTTATCAGCACATGGAAGATATGTATAGCTACCAAGAGACAAGCCCAAGGACAGCCTGCACCTCCAGTGCTCAGATGCAGGAGTGTGGAAGAGCCAGCAAAGGAGGCCACAAAAGACTGGCCCTGGCCAGGTGTGGTGCACAGCTGTCATCCCAGCACTCTGGGAGGTGAAGACAAGAATATTTGGGATTGTTTCTGAGCCCACCCTAGGCACTCAATGGTCAAAAGAGAATGGCTGGAGACACTGTTCAGTGCAAAGGTCTAGGTTCAATGCCCAGTGTGGAGGGAAAAAGGGGGCCCGAGAGGGAGGTGGAAAACCAGGAGGGGTTCTAGTGGCAAAATGAAGAATAAAGTGATTCAAGGAGAGGATACAGACAGATTAAGATGAGGGGGCTAGGGAGAGAGCTCAGAGGTCTAACTGCCTGCCTGGCAAGTGCAAGGGCCTGGGTTCAATACCCTGTACCACAAGCTGTACTGTCCCACGCCTAGCTGGCCACCGAAACCAGGCGTGATGGTGCACACCTGTAATCCCAGTGCTGGGTAGGCAGAGAAAGGAGGATCCCTATGAGTCTGAGCTGCATAGCAAGACCCTGTACTAAATAAATAAAAGATTTTTAAAAAAGATGAGAAGTGACCCCTGACCAACAGCCCATGGAGGTATACTCACAACTATAAGACAGTGCAAGTGTCAAAGTCTGCCTGGCAGACTGCAAAAGGAATGAAAGGAGAAGGGTCGCTGAGTCAAGTTTTCAAAGACCTCATCCACAAAGCTAGATGCCAGAACAAGCACAAACCAACCAGCCTTTGGAGTTTCATGATCTTGGAGAAGCTTTTTCTTCGTAATGGCAGTAACTTGGCAAAGTTTTGTAAAGCCAAAAGTAAAGATGTAGTACATATTAGGGACAATGTTCTCATTTGAGTAGAACCTCAGGTTATAACAGACTAGCACTGCAAAGGGCACTTTCAAATTCCACAAAAGTACATTTAAGGCAGTGGTGGCAAACTTACGGCATACACGTTACTTGTTTTTCTTTTAAGACAAAAGATATTAGCATATGAGTTTTTTTTTTCCTAAAGTGAAACCACAGTATTCAGATTTAATTGCAGTGTTAGCACTTTGTGATAAATCTTATGCTTGGTAGGTGCTGCGACACTGGGCTCTATCCCCAGCCCCAATAAATGGGTTTGGGATTGTAGTTGGGACAATCCCAACTAAAAGATTCACCATTACTGGCTCAGAGGAAGGGAGTTAAATGAAGCTAGGTGCTTCTTGTTTCAGACAGGGTAAAAGGAAGCTCTTAGTAAGTATGAGCTTGGTGTGGTGGCGCATGCCTGTAATCCTAAGCGATGGGGAGGTTGAGGCAGGCACATAATTGCAAGTTCAAGACCAGCTTGGGCTACAAAGTGAGCTCAAGGCCAGCCTGAGTTGCACAGCCAGACCCTGCTTGAAAAGCAAAACAAACAAACAAAAAAGCGTGAAAGGGGCATGTCAGCCAGGCGTCACTACCAACAATAGTGCTTCATATAAATGACTGTCCCTTAGTGACACAGGAACTGCTCTCTGGATGTAGCAAGTAGGGACAGTCCTGGGGTAGGTGTTTAAGTCCACAAAACAATGATGGCATCTTGCTCTAATCTGTTCCTTTTTTTGTGGTACTGGGGATGGAACCCAGGGCCTCTACACCGAACTTCGTCTTCAATCCTTTTTATTCTGAAGTGGTTTGCGAAGCCAGAGTTGCTCAGGCTGGGTATGAATCTGCCATCTTCCTGCCTTAGCAGCCTGTTGGATTACAGGTGCATGCCACCACAGCCAGCTATGATCTATACCTTTTATCTTCTTCTTCTTCTTTTTTTTTTTTTTTGACATCGGGGATCAAACTTGGGGCCTGCACTTGCCAGGTGGGTGCCTATGCCACTGAGCCATATCCCCAGCCGTATACTTTTTAAAGACTATGTTATTCCACTTTCTGGGTGATCCTGCTGTGTTAAAAATGAATTAATAGACTGGAGAGACAGCTCAGTGGCATAGTACCTGCCAGGCAATTGCAAGGTCCTGATTTCAATTCTTGGCTTAAAACAAACAAACAAACAAACAAAAAAACATTTTGGTGAATTTTATGCCACACAGTAGACATTATATTTGGTGCTGAACTTGACAACAACAACAAAAAGGTATAAAGGCTTTTCTGCCCATGAACTTGCCTGGAAACTCCCAATTACATCATTACTTCTGTGGAAATATATGGTTCAAGCTAACAGTGCTCAACTTCCAGGACTTTTCCCAGAATTTCAAACCCTATGAACACTAGTTAGCGGTGGGACTGTCACAGATGTTAAGGGAACCAAGACGCCAAAGTCAAGGGTCCCGAGCAAAAGGCATGTCATTTCCCGGCGTAGGGCACATCATGGTCTAGAGATCTCTGGTTGAAATATTCCTCACCTGGAACTTTTCCAGCTCGTTGGTCACCAAGGCCTGGGCCTGAGCTAGAGGCGCGTGGCAGCGCTCGATGCACTGGTGCACCTGCTGCATGGTCGCCTGGCTGTCCTCACAGCAGCTGGCACTGCACCGGAACATGACGCCCTACGGAGGAAGAAGGGCAGAGCCTGGTTAGGTAGGGCAAAGATGACCAAGGACAAGGGTCAGGGGTCACGTCTGTATGTGCATCTCCCTTTCTACCTTTCACCTCTCAAACAGGCATCCTGAGTCTGCATCTTTAATTAAAACCAAGGCTGGGAAAATTATCCTCAGCGCCTCCCAGAGTGTTTTCAAGGTCTTTTTGCTGTTAGCTCACTGGTTCCTGTGGCACCAATGGCTGGGTGCGCGGGGCAGGAAGGGGCGGGTCAGATGAAGCCGCGTTTTGAAAACCAAGTACCAAGTTCAGAGACGGCGACCTGGTAATCTGTGTTCCCGACTCAAGACTTGAATTAGAAAGGAAACCCATAATCTGGCGAGGGGAACTGGACCAACACCCGCAGAACACTTAGGGGACCCACGTAGAACGGCATATAAACCAGCGCAGCCTGCGGCGGAGCTCGGGACCACAGAGGCAGGAAAGCCCCCGGGCGCCCGCCCGAGCGCGGGTGGGAAAGCGGGGCGCCCCGCGCGGACCAGGGCTTGGGAGTCCGGTCGTGGGGGAGGGGTTCCGGCTCGGCCCCGCCCGCTACCTGCATCTTCCGGATGTTCTCTCTCTCCACACTCTTCACCATGGAGTCCACCGCCTCCTGCACCCGGAGCTGCTGCAGCTCCGCCATAGTGACCCTGCGCTGCGCGACGCCGGCGCCCACATGGCTTCGGCGCAGCCCCGCCCCCTCACGGCCCGCTCTCCGGTGCTCGCGCTGCCCCCTGGCGGTCCGGATTGCTACTACCAGATGGCGCCCCTGGCCTGAGCCCAGTTCTCCCACTGGAGGGCAGTACTGAGTACTTCCACTGCCTCCCTGCTTTCCTACCTCCCTCAGGTCCTCTCCTCATTTGCTCCTTTCCTCTGCCCCTTCCTTCAAGTTATTAACATATATTTAATGTAATTAACATACAGGTGAGAGAGCCAGGGAGCTAGCTCAGTGGCATAGCTCCTGCCTAGCAAGTGCAAGGTCGGGAACTCGATTCCCAGTTCCCCAAACAAAATAAAACCACACGGATGAATGTCCTAATCTTGGGTGTGCCGCTTGAGCTTTTCACAAACTTTGCTTTTTGTCAGTCTCTGCTTTTCTCCCCAGCAGCCCTGCTGCTCTAACTCCACAGATCTGTTTTCTGTCACTGTGGATTACACTTTCCTGTTCTAAACTATATAGACTCTTCTTCACTTTTCTTCCTCAGCACAGTGCATTTGAAAGTGAACCATGTTTTCAGTTCCTTTTCTTGCTGAATAGTATTCCACAGGATGGACATAATGATCCAGTCAGAGACCACTGTGCGGACAGAGTTGTCCTCTTAACCTGTTACGTTGTCCGCGACTTTAGCCTGTTACTCACTAAAAGCATGCTTTGTATTTTTGTCTGTGGCAGTGAGGGACTTAAGAGAAATTTTTGCTAAGAATAGTGACTATTTAGGTCTACCATGCTCAATAGGTAACTAACAGCAAAACAAAGCTTGACCTTTATTTTGTAAAGCTTTGGGTCCAACCCCTTTTCAGTTCTGCATAGAGACAAGTCAGTCACTTAGGAAAGGCCTGTCTAAAAGATGGCAAAATAGTTGAGTAGGCCTGAATTTATGTCACCTATCTCATCATCCTTCAAGACTGTGGAGGGCTGGGGACATGGCTCAGTAGAATAAGCACTTCCCTGGCACGCGCAAGACCTGAGTTCAATCCCCGGTTCCGCAAAAAAAAAAAAAAAAAGACTGTGGACCCCAGGATAGGGATTTATGGGGCAATCAGCTATATCAGAAGTCTCCTTGCCCTAAACCCATAGTCACCTTGGATTCCAGCAGTCTTGTAAGACTGAGACCAACCCTCCGGGAAAGAATAATCATCTCTTGGCAGCTAAACTGTCACATCAGCCAGCCAGCAGGATTCTTCCAGGGCTTCTTAAATAATGGTCAACCAGATCTGGGCCACACTGCAGCCTACAGAATGGTACCTGCTCTTTTACTGTTGGGCTGGTGTAATCTTCAGATTAGTGTCCTTGTCAGTTCCTCAGATTGAGGCCCTTTCCCTATTTTTCTTTCTCCTGTCTTTGTTATGGGTTGTCACAGCCATGCCTCTCCTTCACTGTCTCTTGCTTTCCCATTTTTCGTGAATTCATGTGGATTCTCTCAGTTTTTGAGACTGGGCGTGCTGATGTGCGCCTGTAATCCCAGCACTTGGGAGGCTATAAGCAGGAGGATCACTACAAGTCCGATCTAGTAGTAAGACCCTGAACACCCTGTAGGCCCGTCCCTAAAATACAGAAACACACACACACACACACACACACACACACAAACTTACCAGAGAGGGGCCTGCCAGTTAGCTCAGTTGTTTAAGCACCTGCTTATGCAAGTGGGTTACGGTGGTTTGATCCCCAGACCAGCCCTTAAGGCAGCCTGAGCCAGCAAAAAAAAAAAAAAAAAAAAATCCTTCTAATTTCTGGTATCACCAAAGTAAGGACTAGTGCTAGCTGGGGACACTACCACAACTTGTTTAACCACCCACACTCTGGTGGGCATTTCTGCTTTTCCAGTGATAACTAAAGCAGTGGCTATGAACATCTTTGAGATTTTTTTTTTTTTTTTTTCCGGAACCAGGTATTGAACTCAGGCCCTTGCACTTGCCTGGGAAGCACTTATTCCACTCAGCCATCTCCCCAGCCCCGAACATCTTTGAATGAATCTGGTAGAAACAGATTTTTTTTTTTTAAATTCTTGGGTAAATTCCAAGGAGTGGAACTGTTTTGTCACATTTATGCATATGTTTCTGATAAAAATTTAGCCTCAAGGGCAGTATGGGAGCTAGAGATACCCAATCAACAGTGGAATAGGCATAGTATATGCCTGCAACATGGGGCTGTTTCTAAACCCCCAGAACAATTCTTATCAGTGACTCCCGTCTTTACTATGCTATGCATTTGTTTATTGAACAAACACTGGGCACCATGCTAGGTAGAGGCTTTGCTGCAGAGCAGAGGTCGGTGAAGGAGGGGAGGTCTCAGTTGCAAACATTGTTGGAAGACATGCACTAGAGACAGCCTGCCTGGCTGGACTCAAGCGTGCAGTGGTCTCTGGAAGGCCCTCTTAAAGGAGGCGAGGCTTGCACTGAATCTCTGAATGAGCAAGCCATTGCTTGGCCCTTGAGAGTGTGAAGAGAGTGCCAGGTGAGGCGTGGGAGGCACCCTTGAAGCTTTGGGGAAGTGCCTGGAGTAGAAAAGGAAACTGGAGAGCCAGCCTTGCAGCAATGGGGACCTGTTGGTGGCAGTCAAGCTTTTGCTGTCACTGGGCACTAGATGGCAGGGCAACTCTGGTGTGAGAGTCGTGAGCAACAATCAATCCATGGGCCCTTCAGGAGAGCCTCTTTTATCACCCCTCCTGCGCTCTCCCTCCTGCTGGTAGCTACCCAGACACTGTTGCTCAGGGACTGGAACTCTGGTCCACCTTAAGCCAGGCAACAGGCAGCTCTCAGCATCAGTTGGAATCAGTGACACTGCCTCTCACATGCTTGTCTCAGAATCAATCTCTTAGGAAGTTCCCACAGCAATCCTCTGAGGTAGGTACCTTTCTCCCACTCAGCAAACTGAGACAGAAGTCACTTGCCAACTGTCGCATAGCTGGTGGCCTGTGACCCTGAGGCTGAGGCAGGAGAATCACTGCAAATTTGACATTAGCCTGGGCTACAGCTGCATAGAAAGATCCTGTCTCAATAAGACAGAAAACAAAACAAAAGCCGGTGGAGCCAGACTTTTTGTGCTGATGAACTGAGAGTGGCTGTGCCGGTAGGAAGCCTCTCACCGACAGACTTACTGTGTGCGCTGTTGGCCCCACGCTCCACAGGAAGCGTCTCTCTCCTTTAAACCAGTCTGAAATGCTTCGCTTTCCCTCCTTTTCCTAAAGGCTCAGACTGATTTTTTTTTTCCAAAACCTGGTATGTATGAGCACCCAGTTAATTGCACTAAAAGGAGTTTTGAAAACCTTTGAGTCAGATAGCCTTGTTAGTCTGTGTATACAAAATGAATGATTCTTGGCTATCGTGTCTCTTCAAGGTAGCCCACCCGATGCTGTAGGGTGTCCTTTTATTTCTATTTTTGCTTCTCCCTTTTCCTTACTTTTACTTGGCCCAAACTAACTCTGCAGGGCCTATCTTTACTACGTTTGAAATCTTGCCACCATTTGAATAAAACAGAGCCCTCCAAATGAACAATTTTTCAGTATTTAGGAAAAAAGGATCTCTCTCTCCTCTTTCTCTCTCTGTCTGTCTTTCAGACAGTCTTACTGTGTAGTGCAGGCTGATGTGGGCCTCCTCATCTTTCTGTCTCACCTCCTGAGTGCTGGGAGTACAGATGTGAGACACTATATTGGCTGTGAAAAAGGATTCCTGACTTCCATTTAGCTCTGGGAATAAAATCTTTGTTAAAGAGGCTTTGACTTGGAGGTTATTTAGAAATGAATTTTCTTTCTTTCTTTCTTTCTTTCTTTCTTTCTTTCTTTCTTTCTTTCCTTCTTTATTTCTCGTGTATTTTGTACAGGGTCTCACTGTGCAGCTTGGACTCATAGTGATCCTCCTGTTTTCAGTGTAATCCCAGTGCTGGGATTACAGTTGTGCACCACCATGCCCAGACTCTGTCGCTGGTTCAGTGTGCCTGGGGGCAGGGCCAATGCAGCATATGTTGCCAGGGATCGAACCCTGGTCCTTGCACTTGCCTAAGCAGGCACTTAGTCTGCTGAGCTATCTCACTGCCCTGAATTTATTTTTCTCTCATTTTTTTAGAGGGCTTTGCTATGTAGTTCGGGCTGGCCTTGAACTCACAGCTCTGCCCCAGCTTCTGAAGTGCTGAGACTACAGGAGTATGACACCATGCTCAGCTTGAACTTCTTAATTTTTAAAAAACTTTTATTTTTTATTTATTTATTTTTTTTTTGCGGAACCAGGGATTGAACTCAGGCCCTTGCGCTTGCCAGGGAAGCACTTATTCCACTGAGCCATCTGCCCAGCCCCCAAGACTTTTATTTTCTAAAAAAAGAGAATAAAAATAGTTTTTAAAAACCCTTATTACAAGTGATACAGAATTCAACAGTGGTTGTTCTGTTGTATATAGTGTTGTCTTCTCAAATACATGGGTGATTTGTAGTTACTTTTGGTGGTTGCATTCTGGTCAGCAAACAGACATCATGTTCAGTCTTTTTGATTTGGTGAAACTGTCTTTCTGGCACCAAAGAAGACTTTTCTGACTGGCTCCTCCTGCTGTATGCTTTTCTGTCGTAAATTTTCTTCACATCCACTACTCATTTGCGACAGTACCCATCAGTAGTGCTTAAATCACTTGTCCTATGTTTTGGCCGGATTACATGCTCCTCCAGGACAGGGGACGTATCTGTTCTTTTCCACTTACTAGTGTCTGGCACATCCCCAAAAGTTTGTTTAATGAATGAATAAAGTAATTAGATTAGTGAGATATTTGGAATCTAGAGAAAAGGAATAACAAATAGA